TTTTGAAAAATCGTTTCACGTGTTTCAGCGTTTTTTTTTAATGTTGGAAGTTGTCGAAATATTTGACCGTCCCGGTACATAATTGACACCCTGTATATACACTGGAATGGGCATCAAGGAAAAATCGTGACCGCAATTGAGCAGCCGCCATTTTGGGTGGGTCAAATATTTGAGCGAATCAGAAGCGTTCGCGCGCGCGTTGCGATCGATGTATCGATCAATGTATTATCGATGTATGGAAATCTATATGAACATGAATGATATATAAATATAAATAATATCACTTCAGTTTTATTAGTACATTCAATAAAATAACTAATAACACTTTATATCCTACATCGTTAACACATATGGAAATGATTTGATGACATATGGCAGGAATTGATATCAAAATTATATTGATATAATATAAAAATTTTTACCTATGAAATGAAAGGCTCTTTTTACTTCTCTGCCTTCACCCAGGCACACAGCACTTCATGGTGATGCTTTGTAGACAATAAGTAATAAACATATTCGGGCCTATGACGGTCAAAGCTAGATCTTTTTGCCTAAATAATTCCCAGTTAATTATCTATACACTATATATGTATATGCATATATATCATATTTTTGTAGTTATTCAAACTGCACGCCGAAATTTTTCCGGACTTTATCTAACGCAATTAAACTACTGCAATAATATCACAAATTAAATTAAATTGACAATGTGCTGAAAACTTTAAATAAATTTAATGCGAAAAATATTACCTCGGCCGGGACTTGAATCTGAATCTCTTGTATTCCGTATGAGCATCCTAAGCCATTAGACCGAGGCTTTAGTAATATTCTTCGCAATAATCAGTATATGTAAGAATAATAACGTTTCTTGCAGGCAACGTTATAAACAATAAGATTTTATTCGGACCGACAGTAAATTAAATAATAAGTATAAACATATTCGGGCTATGACGGTCAAAGCTAGATCTTTTTGCCTAAATAATTCCCAGTGAATTATCTATACCCTATATATGTACGTGCATGTATATCATATTTTTGTAGTTATTCAAACTGTGCGCCGAAATTTTTCAGAACTTTGTCTAACGCAATTAAACTATTGCAACAATATCACAAGTTAAATTAAATTGACAATGTGCTGAAAACCTTAAATAAATATATTGCGAAAAATATTACCTCGGCCGAGACTTGAACCCAGATCTCGTGTATTCCGTACGAGCGTCCTAAGCCATTAGATCACCGAGGCTTTAATAATATTCTTCGCAATAAGCAGTATATGTAAGAACAATAACGCTTCTTACAGGCAGCGTGTATAAACAATAATAAGATTTTATTCAGACCGGCAAGCAATTAAATACTAAGTATAAGTATATTTATTTAAGGTTTTCAGCACATTGTCAATTTAATTTAACTTGTGATATTATTGCAGTAGTTTAATTACGTTAGATAAAGTCCGGAAAAATTTCGGTGCGCAGTTTGAATAACTACAAAAATATGATATATATGCATGTCCATATATAGGGTATAGATAATTCACTGGGAATTATTTAGGCAAAAAGGTCTAGCTTTAACCGTCATAGGCCCGAATATGCTTATACTTAGTATTTAATTTCCTGTCGGTCCGAACAAAATCTTATTATTGCTTTGTAGACAGTCACGCGATTTTATAATCCTTCATATACCGGGTGTTTTAAACCACCCGTCCCATCCTTTTATCTTCGCAGTATGGGTGGCACCCAGTTGGACACGTCTCAATTGGACACGAGCCACTCACAGCGCTTGAGACTACAAAGCTCCTAAGCACCGGTCGCTGTGATTGGTGGTGTCCAATCGAACTTGATCAATCGGGATCACCCTTATCAGTATAAGGTCCATTCGAAAAAGTGCTCAGACAAAAGTTGTAAAAGGGTTTCTAAAGATCTATTTACTGGCGCTATGAGTTTGATCTTGGGTAGGGCATCACCAAGGTCAGGTCAAGATCACATCAGATCATCCCGCTCCTCGAGAAGGTGGTCGGCACTCTCTTCCCCGTGAGGGGGAAAGAGGTGAGGGAGAGTGCCTGCCCGCCGGAGGATTGGACGGAGGAGCTGAGTGTCACCGAGGGGGAGATGGCGGCAGCCTTCGCCCGTCTGAAGGGTCGGCCGAAAGCTCCGGGGCCAGG